AAAAGACCAGTGTGCTGCAGATGGGATTTTACTGGGGAAAGACCAATCTGTGTGTGCTGGAGGTGGGATATCACTGCCAAAAGACCAGTGTGCTGCAGATGGGATTTTACTGGGGAAAGACCAATCTGTGTGTGCTGGAGGTGGGATATCACTGCCAAAAGACCAGTGTGCTGCAGATGGGATTTTACTGGGGAAAGACCAATCTGTGTGTGCTGGAGGTGGGATTTAACTGGGAAAAGACCAATCTGTGTGTGCTGGAGGTGGGATTTCCATTAGTTGTAAATTGGTTGCCATACACAGCTGCTCCAGATTTTGTCTGCTCCAGTTTTGATAAATTCCCTTCACTGTATATTGCTGGCTCTTTGAGGAACAAGCAAGGTATTTTGGCAACATACTATAAAAGTGAAAATACTATAAAACTGAGAATGTAAAATATTTTGTCAAAACAGGCCTTTTTCTTTTCTGGAAATCAGTTTTTAGGGAACTAAGTAGTAGAAATAGATTGTCAAGATCATGAACTAAAGCAGCAAGGTTTTTTCTTTATTATCTATTCATACTCATCTTGCCAGTGATCCCCGTTGCAGCTAATACTAAAGACTTCCCAGTGTTGCCCGATGTCAGACACTGAGTGGAGCGGTGATGTCATTCTCTCTAAATAAAAGTAATTCACCGCCACACACTTGAAGGGTTTTTAAAGTATTGATATGTTTATTCAATACCCAATGTCACATACTGTCATACGGTGCTGCAGCACGGCGCCATCCGTGTGGTCACCTGGGCACCACATATACCTTGTGGTTTTGAGACCGTGGCAGTGTGAATGAGATATGGACTTTGATGTCATTCTCTCTGCCATGTGACAGTGGTTGGACCTAGTGATTTGCTGCTAGACCCCATTACTTTCACATCAGAAGAGGAAACATGCTTTTCTATACCTGGAAGCTCCATGTGTTGTCATCGGCTGCAACGGAGGAAGGAGCAGGAGGGTAGCACTGGCAAGATGACTATTAGGCCTCATGCACACACAACGCAAGAGCAAAATTGTATATTGCGTATACGCGCGTATGTATGCGCGTATATGTGTGCACTATATGCAATTCCAGAATGCATCATTCTTAATAGAAATTTTAATGTACTGTACGCGCGTATACACACGCACACATGTGTCTATGCACGTAAAATACACAGAAATATGGAGCCCGGATGCATCTCCGGTCTATTTTTTTTTGCGCATCTTTACGCAGCGCAAATATACGGCTCCATACGCAGCTATGTGTATGGAGCCATTTATTTGCATATGCTGCATATGGGAAAATACGCTGTGCGCATCTATAGTTTATTGTACGGCAGTGTGAATGAGGCCTTAGTGGGACAAAAAATCACCTTTGCAAAGACATTGTCACGTTGCCATGTATGGCTGAAATTCAGACCTTTCAGACTTTACTAGCTGCATGCTAGTTCCAGGTGAGTGATACACTAGTGGAACGAGGATTAGGATCCCAGTAGCTGATCCTTTAAAAAAAAGTCAGCAATAGCAGTCCTTTATTTCTAGCCTCATAGGTTCATTTTACAGGTATAATAAAATAAACTCAAAGCATCTGGGAGTTTCTTCCAAAATTAGCCCACCGACTTGTACTGATTTATGTAACACCAGACATTAACTGTAACTACATGAATAAACAAAGTACACAGCTGAGGGGTGGTACTAAAGAGGTTTGATAAGTTTCAGTAAAGGTTCATTTTAGAGAAAACTGTGCTGAAAGTATTTCACAATTGAAAATAAAGGAAGAAAAGCCTAAAAAGAAAACGAATGCACCCATCACATTTAAGGATTAGTAAGCTGCAACTGAGTTTACTATGCTTTAATGCTTTTAGTCACTAACCCAGAATAGGTGTAGATTAAAGTGACACTAAGCTCAGGAGTTAAATCTTTAAAATGCATTCAAGTAACTTAACTATTTAAAAAAATAAATTAACTTATTTGTGTATCACTCGGCTGTAGATCCTCAAATCATCTCTGAATTGGTGCTGACACTGTACTTCCTTCTGGAGGGTGGCTACTTTTGTTCCCCATGGTCCTTGTGTGTGTTGTAAAGTAGTCACCGCTCCAATCTCACCCCCGTGATGGACTACAATTTCAATACAAATTAATAAACTAAACATGAGATTGTAGTCCATCACAGGACTGATCTTGGAGTGGTGACTACTTTACAACACACACAGGGACCATGGGGAACAAAAGTAGCCACCCTCCAGAAGGAAGGGCAGTTTCAACACCAATTCAGAGATGATTTGAAGATCTACAGCTGAGTGATACACAAATAAGATACATTTTTGTTAATAGCTAAGGTACTTAAATGCATTTGAAAGGTTTAACTCCAGAGTTTAGTGTCACTTTAAGGTTTTTGACTGTAATATACTTGCTGCATGCTTGTTTTATGTCCAACACTCAGAAATAGCATAGTGTCTGGATCAGCATGACAGCCAGGCAATTAGCACTTCACCAAGAACAGTTTGCTGATTATATTGCTTTATATACAGCTGTCCACTAGAGGGAGCATTTACACATTTCTACATGGAACTTGAAGAAGCTAGTACAGATGTGAATGTCACACCAAACACATTCAAGTGGATGCTATAACTCAATTGTGTGTTCAATAAAAAGTAATAAAATTTCCCTTTAATTTTTTTTTAGCATGTTGTCAACGTGTGCCAAGTGTGAAAAAAAGAGATGGGGAGAATTTTGTAAGGTGGCTGACAGCATGATAGCAACTATAGAGGTGGTTTGTCATGCCCGTAAGATAAGGAATATTAAAGGGATTACCCTTGCATGCTGTCAGTTCCTCTTGTTAAGACTAACAGGGTTATTCACAAAAGGGTGAAGAGTTTGGAGAAGGCAGAAGAAGTGAACAATCTAGGACAACATAGCTGATTTGGAAAACCTGTAGTAGAAAAAGGTTCAGGGGGAGCACACCGTGCATGTGCGGCTGTGAAACGCGGTAGCATGTTCACACTGGGGTTGCTTGGCGCAAGCTCCAACAGTCTGAGCATCCCAGGAATGGGGCAGGACGGCTAATACCACAGGGCCCATTCACAACCCATGACGGGATAATCCCCTCATGAAGTTTGAAGGGGTTAAACAGACTCCTGGAGTCTGTTCAGTTTTGTAGAGCCGGTGGCCGGCTTTACAGTAGAAGCGATTCTGGCAGCTCAGCTGCTGCCAGATCGCCTCTTTGATCCAGTAACCGGGCCGCCCCTCCACCCCTGCCTTGTTTCCTGGGCTCCGCTGTCCCTCCTACGGGCCAAGGACCAGGTTACCGGGTGTGGGCGGAAAGCTGGGGAGATCGGTGAACTATTTCCTCCCCGTACTATGGGACCGGGAGCGACGCGTATTACATCACTTCCGGTCCCATAGCTGTCATTGCTGGGCTCCTGAAGCCCAGCTATAAGCTATTGAAGTGCGATCTGGTCTTTTGGACCCCCAGTATCACCTTAAAGAGGACCTGTCACTGCCAATATGCTATCACATAGCCCCTCTATGTTATAGCAATTAAAGTAAAGTTAATTTTTTTTTTACAGTTTTCAGCGCTGCATGACGGAATAAATGTCAGTCAAAGTACCGCAGCGTTGAATACTGAAAAATGGCCTGGATGGGAAAGGGGTTTAACACCGCGGATGTCAACTGGTTAATAAATTAAATGTAAAAATAATAAAGACTTTTTTAAAGTCCCCCGCCCCAGCGAGCATGCACGTTATTATGTAAATACGCGTCAGGTGAGCCTACATACGAAAACGATGATTGCGTTACACATATTGGTTATCGCTACACAAGCCAGAGTGAGAGCAATAATTAGGGCCAATATTTATGCGTATCTCTATACTGATGACCTGTAGGGGTTTTTAAAGCGTCGTCTATGGACTTTTTGGGGTACTGAATTCTGTCGCAGTTTCACGGACGCACACAATTTTTACCCTGGGCAAGTTAGGTATCTATTTACATGTTGTAACCTATTTTTTATTTTACAAAAAAAAATGGTTTTATATAGTGTTTTGGGGCACTAAATTTAACTTAAGTACATTTACCCCCAAATGTTTAATAAGTTGTGCTAATGGCGTGCAACATATACATTTGCAACTGTCTCCTCAATTCGGGGACGCATGGTCATCCTCCCTTTGCGCAGGTGCTGAGCTGAGACCTGAATGAAGTGTACAGTTTGTCACAACACACTAGTCTGCCCTTTAATAGGTTAGCAGACAAGCGTTTTTCTAGGGCAGACTTTGGGGAAGTCCCTCACGGCCTAATGGTACGGCTTCTAAAGGACAATATTGCAATACTTCACTGCGTTTACTTTCAACACACTGGGGCCCTAAGAGTGTATAGTTTGTTTTTATGAAAAGATGAACTTTACAATGAGTGGGGTAAAAAAACTGCAACCAAACATTGTCTTACTAGAGGACAGCTGCCAATCAGCTTTCACATTTTCATTTTCTATGTCGTGTGGAAAAATGAAACCTAGACGCTGATTGGTTAGTATGGGCAAGAGTAGCAGTTCCAGTTAGAATTTGTCTCAGTTTTTATGAATCCCCCCCCCTTGTCTCATTTCAGCGCTAGACATGGAACTGCTGGACGCTGCCTATGAGCGCTTCCTGTAGCAGAGGCGACAGAGCAAACACTTCCTGGAACCATGGCTGGAGGTTTAACTTCCTCTTAAGTCACACACAATGGGAGGGGGGTAAAATCGGGATGGAGGAAAAAAAGAGAAAGCGAAAAAGGAGGAGTCTCGGGAAAGCCTGAAGTGCCACAGCTGTTATTTGGCTTGGATTGCGCCCTTCGTTCCTTATTATCGCCTTTTAGAGTTGACAGGCGTGACCCATAGCGATCCTGTTTACATCTCTTCCAAGCCTAGGGAGAGCAGGGATCGGGGCACAGGGCGCTGCAGTTGAATGATGAGGAAGGAGCCCCGATCACGTAGCAGTACATAGGGTCTATCTGGAGGTGTATGGACACCTCCCCCTCTCATGTGAGCGCCCCTACATTAAACAGCATCTATATGTCAGCGGCATCTAGTTGCTAAGCAGACAGTCTGTGCAGCCCTCTGCCTTGCCATGTCAGGCTCCAGTACTCCCAAGTGCCTGCCATCCTCCGGACAGAAGTCTCTGCAAGACATCAAGCATCCATTGAGCTGCTCCCCGGGGGCTGAAGAAGAGGCAGTGGACTTGGGGCTTGTTGTCAATGACACCCCCAGCCCGGAGTTACCCCACACTGATCCCAGCAGCATAGCAGACAAGGTAAGAGCATGGCTACAGTCAGGTGGCAACAGTTGCCTTAGGGGGGTGCTGACTGCATGACAGCTAGCAATCAATAATTCATGGTTTATTGCAATATTTGCTCTTAGTGACTCCGAAGTGGAAGATGTCCTGTATTCTATTTGTTCTACCAGTGTGTCAAGATTTCCTTTTAGAAAGATTTCTGTCTTCCATGTGCCAGATTCATATTGGAAAATTGTTTTCAAAGCCTACCACACAGGTTACAATCTGATTGCATAATCTCTTTTAGGGCCCATTCACACCACATCCAGATCATCTCCAGACCACACCAGATTGTTTCTGGACCCAAAATGCATTCTAATGTATCCCTTTACTATTTTCGGCCTCTGTTCACACCAGCGCAGTCCGTTCCAGACCAGAAAAATACTGCACGTCTCATTTTGTCTGGTCTGGAATGCACTGGAACTGTAGGCAAGTTCACACCATTTTCCGGACCAAATCTGGCCGAGAAAATGGTGTGAACCTGCCTTCTGTGCCTATTCCCACCACATCCAGATCATCTCCAGACCAGACCAGATTGTTTCCGAACCCAAAATGCATCCTAATGTATCCTTATGCTATTTCTGGCCTCTGTTCACACCAGCACAGTCTGTTCCAGACCAGAAAAATACTGCATGTCTCATTTTGTCTGGTCTGGAATGCATGGACACACATCAAAACACATGAAAGGTACCTGAGAGCCTATTTTAAGCTAAAAAAAACCCCCAGCTCTGGAACGCGGCAAAAAACGCGATGCACTGCATTCCAGATCTGGCCCAGGAAATGGTGTGAACCCAGCCTAAGGGACACCATACGACGACCCCGGGGGGTTGACCCGGTGGAACCTCTCCCTCTTGTGCCTTTTCTACCTCACACCTGCTCCCGGACGGGACACCTGTACTCCTTCTGCTCAGCCTTTCCTTGACTTTTCCTCCAGCCTAACATATCTCCCATCTCAGGAGGATGGAGTGGACAGGCACGTTGGATACGGCAGCGTAGTTATACATAGAATTTGGTTGCCACTGTACACACCCGACACAGCCCAGGGACGTTATCTAGGATATAATCTGTACCTTAGCTAACAACACTCATAGGTCCACTGGGGTGTCAGGGTCAGACGATTCAGATCGGATGGTGTTGTCATGACGTTGAAGATTTTTCTTGCATGTATGCCATGTACTTGTAACCTATGCTTCTGTATGTCTCTTGTGCACATGCTTGTATCACATATGTGATCAGTTAATAAAAGAATTAAAAAAAAAAAAAAGGGACACCATACATGTTACAATCTGACTGTATAATCTTTGTACACTCTACTACATCTATGTAATAAGAGGATTTACGTGATCTATCCAATTCATTTGTATCCAATCAGGTAGGCATTTGCACTACAATAATTGTTGGTAGATCTAGAGTAGATTGTACGGTCAAAATGTAACGTGTGTGGTGAGCCTAAGGCTATATTCACACGGGGTGTTCTAGGATTCCTGTGGCAAGAACCTTTGAATTCCTGTGTCAGGAATCCAAAGTGTGCCTGTTCAGATGCGGCCTCTGTGCCCATTGATCTTAAAGGAGAATTATGAGGTGAGTGCTTGTCATTCACCTCATAGTTCTAGCCGACCTGTGACAATGAGACTGTCACAGGTCGGCTCAGTAGATCGGGAGGTGAGCAAACACATATCGGTGTTCGCTCACCTCTCGATCCTTTCACAGCCCCTCCCCGTGACGGGAGGGGCTGGATTCCCCCCCTCCGATCTGCCAGCGCTGATTGGCAGAACGGACGGGGGTGGGGGCGGGTACAGCTGGCTCTGCCTCTAGATAGGCAGAGCCAGCTGTCAGTCACGCAGCTGGGCGGATCACGGCACAATTGTCGGGATCTGCTTCAGCTGCGGCGTCTCAGTATACCGCGAGCAGTATACTGAGCCTAGGGTTACTGGTGGACGCTAGTTTGTGTCCTCCCGTCGTTACCCTAAGGAGAACTATGGGGAAAAGACTTAACCCCATAGTTCTCCTTTAATGACAGCAACCACATATGTCAGTAGCAGGTTTGGAATGTAATTGAGAATGGTACAATTACCTAAAGTTGGGAGTAGATGGTTATCCCTGGACGCAGCTATCCTGCATCCAGCAAATATCATAGCAAATGAATAAATAAATATGCAGCGCTCGTGACCTTAAATCATGTATTAGTGATTAGTAAAAAATGTATATAAGTGATCAAACCAAATAGTGTACCAAAATGTGACCTAAATGGAACTAATTAAATAACACAATCAAGGTTAAGTGAATAATAATGTGTACTCCTAGCGGTGTGGGGGCGGAGACAGCCAGTGCTGTCACAGGAGGCTGAGCTCTCCTCCCACAGCGCTCAGCCGCCTATCACAGTCCGGCAGAGCGGTGTGTGGGTGGAGACAGCCAGGGCTGTCACAGAAGGCTGAGCACACCTCCCTACACTGCTCGGTCAGCCTCCTGTGACAGCGTGTCAGAGAGGAGACGAGTACAAACACTCAGCGATCAGTGATCGCTGAGTGTATGTAGATAATTGAGGATATGGTATGTTAACTATATCCTCAATTATGAATGAATGGGAGGTGAGCTACATCACCCAGGGGTGTGGAAATTTTGGAAAAAACTACTTGTCCAAGGACTAAAGTGGGGGCCGAATCTACTTGTCCCTCATGACAATCTACTTGTCCTGATACAAAAAAAATAATTTTAACCAAAACCGTAAGAAGCACTTCTCATTGGTCAGTGCCGTCAGGTGACTGCGTTGACCAACGAGTGCTTGCAATTTGCGAGCGAAATTCAGACAACATGGAACAGGTACAGATAGTACACCCGTACTGGTGGACGGGAAGGACCGTTGGCTGAAAGGTAAGTATGGTGGGAGGGAGATTTGTGCGGGTAATTCCGTTTTCCCAAATTACTTGGGAAAATGAATTTACCCTTTAGGGTTGGTGCAGACTTGGGGATTCCCGGGACGTGCGATCGTGTGCGTTTGCATAAAGCAGTTGCATCCGCATGTATGGGGTTACATCTGCGTGGCAATCGCTGAAAAAAAGGTAGATGTACCTATTTTCACGACATGCACCGCGCAGTGTTTTCAACCGTGATCGCCCGCGGCGGTATTGCAGTAGGAAAACGCGAAATCTGCCTGGGGATGACTGGGGTGCCATTAGAAAATAATGGCACTGACAGCACGGTCGGCGGTGGTGTGCGATTCCGTGACCACCCAGCCAATCGCACGGTTTCGTGCACGATGACCGGGCAGTCACAGATCACACACCACTGCCGATCGCGCTGGCAGTGCCATTATTTTCTAATGGCACCCCAATCATGCCAGGCAGATTGCGCGTTTTCCTGCTGCAATACCGCCCTGCCCGTGCGTTTGCACACGATTGCAGTTAAAAACACTGCACGTTTATTCGCGTGGGGCTGGTTTTATTTTTTTCTGTTTTTATTTACTTTGTAAAAAATTTTTCCTTTGTTTTATTATTTTTACTTAAATCGCCTTTTTATTTTTTACATTTTTATTTAGTTACATTTTTAATTAATATTTTTTACTTTTTCTTTTTAACTATTTAAAAAAAACAACTTTTTATTGTATTGCTATCACACAGGGACTAATAATCCCCTGTGTAATAGCATTTGGAGGTGAAAGGTACTCTTTATTGACCCTGTCACCTCCAACACAGGAGTTCTAGCACAGCACTGTTGCTAGAACTCCTGTGACAGGAACGAGCATCGGCCGCCGGGGACAGAGGCTGGGGGAGGTGACAGAGCCTGTCACAGCTCCACCGTCCGGCTTCGTCACTGCTCCACGCCCCTCGCTCCGTCACGGCTCCACGCCCCTCGCTCCGTCACGCCCTCTGCTCCGTCCCCATCTCATTCAACGCTTCGTCCCCGCCCCCCGCTTCGTCACAGCACCACGCCCCTCGCTCC